TTGGATGCTTATCTATCGCACTGCTTATATATTCCTTAATAATGATCTGTGGCGGCCAGAGCTCGTCATGGGACTAAAAAACGGGACCCATATGGTCTAAAATAGCCATGAATAAGCTTGGGAGATAGTTTGGAGTTGGGACATTGATTTTTTTCTTATCGAACATCTCTATGAGCGACGTACATAACCCGATAATACGATCGGTTGCGCCGTGCTTTTTCAGCCCAATCGTCTTTACTTATGGTCGTACTACTGCAACTTCTATCCCATGAAAATTTTCCCGTTCGTTCCTCTTTTACTACAATTCAGCCGCTGCTTAATCCCCCTAATTTTCATTCAATGTTCTTATCCATTGGCAAAAAGCAAAAAGGCACTCGAAAATGACCACCCCTCACGACTTACTAGGTCTCCTGTTAACTTGTACGTGCACTGCAGGAATGCGCCTAGCCCCTAAGAGTGTTCGTAAAATGAGAAAGAAGTAGCCAAGCAATTCATCTCGTAGAAGCGAAGCATCTGCGAGCAATTTTATTGTGACCACTGAGAGTAACTTTCCTTGCGGAAACGGAAAGCCAGCTGATTCTGGATTTCGAACAGGGTAACAAGGGCGGCTCCTCCGTTTCCACTATAGAGTTCACTCGGCAATTTATGCAGACATATCAGGAGACACAGTTAGTCAGCATCTTACCCAGTGGAAGCAGACCACTTTGACAGGAACTTATAAACAAAGGCCTGCTCTCCTGAGTGTTCTGGATATGCGAAGGAAGACAGAAGAACTTCATCCATTGGAGATGAGGTTTTTGCATCCTAATGAAGATTTTAACGCAGCATCTTGTGAAATCAGAGAAATAAAGGGAATCTTCATAAATTCTCCTATGAAAATAATTTTACCTAAGTCATAGAGAAAAAGACGAGAAAGTGAGGATCAGCTCTTCTTCGCCTCCGTTAAGCAGCTAGAGTGGATAAAGTCGCTCACCTTTTTCAGCCTCTGGGAGTAGGAAATCAAATAAGGAAATTAAAAAGAATAAGAGAGGAAAAAACAATGGGAGAAAAACATCGCCTCATCACTCGGCGATCAGCTGATTGTGTGTGGGTCCTAGAACGAATGGTTGCAATGTGTATTGTCTCAACACTCATTTAACGTGACATCGATCGAGGGGCGTTAAAGCCAATTACGGCAGCAACAGGGCTTGCACTATGCCCTAAGCGCCGGGATTGTGGGAGCGAGATGGTCCCTTCTACCATCTATGGGAAGATAAAGGGAAAAGGGTTCCACATCAAGAGGACTAGACTCTTTCCACTGTAATATGCACCTTTTTTTCTCATACAAATATGTAATCGAACTACAAAATTGTTTGTTAAAGCTGTTGGTGTCTACATGGAGAACTCTCAACAAAGATGATTATAAAAGTTATTTCTCTCCTGCCGTTTGTTCCATGTGAACAGGTTTGGGCAACGCTCTTCCACTAATAACTTTTCGGCGATTTTAAAGATTCTGCGAGAGAGATGGATAACAGAGAATGTTGGGAATTTAAAATGGAAATCTACGAATCAATTGGGTCAACCATGATGGATTCTTTTATTGGCTCGGGAGTAAATTTCGTCCACTTTCTTCGTCCCCAGCTAACTATAGGTGTTTACTTGACTATCGCTAGTATTCACTTAGTAAAATGATTAATGTACCTGTTTTGGTATCACTCGCGTCTATTAGTTTCCCTTCCTTTCCCGATTCAGTGTATCATTACCAACCAGACTGTCTACCTTCTCTTGATGTACCATACCGCGACATTCTTAGGATCTTTCGTGCTAATGAAATCTGTGTCATTATTAAAATGGGATCTTCCACGACCTTTTGATACTAACATTATGACAAAATCTTGCGATCCTCCTATTGAGAACATCGTTGAAGTTTTCGAGCTGTTCGGAACCCTTATGATGATTCATCGACTCAGAGTACTCCCTTTGTTTGTATGAATGGAGGATTTTGTTTAATTTTCCTAACATTATCGTTCAATTATATTTATGTATCCTGAGCATGAGCTGAGCATTGCAGCGTAAGATCGTATCCTTGAGATTAAAGGATAAAAGCATAGTGTTTAGGCGTCAATCAGTCCCTCCTGAGGGAGGCCCCCGCACTCAACCACCATGTATGTGGTCTGAACAATGACTTGCTGTGGCCAGCCGATGTACAAACCAGTGCTTTTATCCTCTCCGACGAGTCTGGTACCAATTAACCGGCCCCTGAGGGACGGAAAGCTTAGTTGTCCTAGATGGACATCGATTCGTGATCAGATGGACCCGGTTTAAATACCCAAGTTTGAGAGACTCTCGTTCTGCCTCCTGTAGAGCCCTCTGCGGCTCCGGTCGGCGTGTTACCAATTGAGAATCCCTGAGATTAGTTTGATAAAAACTAGATACATTCCTATCCTGAGTCATTTATCGATGAGGCTGGGGTATAGCGTCAGATCAAGGCATCAATGATTTTTATGTCTGTCAAGAGCTCCTAAAAATGATACTTCCTGAATAGCTTGCCGGGATGTGATGAGAGCGACATAAAGACCCAGAACGTGATTGGAAAATTTCAAAAATTGGTGCGAAGCCTTGACGAACACCAATTTCTCTCAAATCACTTTTGAGCTCCTTTCGTTGAATTCAGCTGATTGTGGGTTTGAATCAATCATTTCCTCATAAAACATTCACTCAGATGCGGGAGGTATTGACCTTCGCAAACAGTACATAGACCGTTGCTCGTGAACTCAAATTGGTTCTGCTGTAAAGAAAAGAGTGGAATACTTCTTTTATCACTATTATTTACTTTTTTATCAAATATCTGAATCAGGGTTTTCTCATTTTGGCTTTTGTGGAATATCATGATGTGCTACCATTTCATCATAAAAATAAGTGACTTGTAACTGTCATTTTGGTAGAGTTTACGATTCCTCCACTGGCTATCCCCGCATTTTCTTTCGGGGCTTACTTAAAGTGATTCAGGGCGTATCAGAATTAGGCTTTTCCATATATACAGGAGAAATAGATCAGGGAGACAGGTTCGTTTGCGTGTTACGTTTCCTTAAATGAGTGTTCACGGGTCAAATTTAGCAATCTATTTAGATTCAAAGGTATTGTTTATCGTAGGGACCAACAGGATTGTTGAATTGTAGGCTAACTATAGTTCTCATAGTTACATCATTCTCAATTTGGCCTTGATCATAAGACCTCCATCAGTCTGAAAACATTAATATCTGAATTCCACTTCTTTTCACTTAGATAAGGCTACAGTTACACCATTCAGAAAAATCGACTTCATTTCAAATTGAAATAGCTCGGGCATCGGGTGGTTAGGAGGAGGGGTCATTTAACTGTTCAGCACCGTTTCCAGTGGTGTGTGGAGTTTTCAAGCTACTTCTCACTACCCATTCTGTAAACGAAACGAGAACGATCTTGGAGTTTTTCGAGAACATCGACCAATCCTCCCTAATAGCAATAACTATGGGAAATGACTAAGCTGCTGTATTTGGGACTTCTTTATTACACATTCTTACGTCAATTCCGCTGCGCCATGCCTTGATATGCTTATCCTAAGCCGCTTTCTCTCCACTGATTCCAAGGATGTTTCCTCTCTGACGTATTTCTTATTAATTATTTCTCAAGTTGACGGAATCGTATAGATCTATGCTTCAGAAGACATGGATGATAATAGCTACGACCGGCATTTCCGACTTCTTATATGCGGCGGAAAAGGGGTAAGCTGGTTATTTACAACTTCGTAGAAACAATTAACTACTTTTACGATTTGCATGCGCCCTTCCTTTTCGGGGTCGCTTTGACTTGGAAGATGTTCTGGTAGGATTGCTACCCGTAAAAGCTAATTATTTATAATTCAGACGGGGAAATCAACTCTTTTGTCATGCTTTTCGTTTGAAAGTGATCGAGCTGAAGGCACAACGATGCTTCGGTTGGACGACCTCAATATACGTATCGATGTTCGCAAGAGAGATAAGGTATTACTTGCTTACTTCACAGCTCACAAACTAGTTTTTATAGAATATCAGAAAGCCTTTGGAGACCCTGCGCTCCACCCACCATTTTAATAAAGATATAAATTCTGTCGAAGTCTTCAGTAGAAACCTAATTGCATCTTATCAGTACTCCGATACCTGTTCTTCTAAATTTTGATCTCTTCTAGCCAAACTCCCCTATTTTATGCTTGTTTGTATTCGACGGTAAGCCAGTGGCCATAATCGAATCAAGTTGGCTGTCCGTCAATATCACAGACAAGCTAGAACGACGTAAACAAATCATCATCTAGATACTAAAAAAAAAGTCGAAATTAAGCTATACAACTGTAGGGAGGGGGAAAAATAGGTAAAGGTTGTCATTCGTGTAGGGAAAGAAGCGATCACATACCCTTTGCACTTCAAGCTTGCGGGATGAGTGAGCAGATCCCCTAGAGCACCCTCAAAGGGATTGAGACTTTCCAGACATTTAACATAGAGAACTTCGCCACTTTCCCATGTCTACCTATTGTAAGACCACTTCTAATAGCCCTATGGGGAGCTCAGCATTGGAGAAACCTTACTTAGCTGGCCATTTTCTCACGTGATCAAGATTCTCATGTTTCCTTTATCAGTAATGTGATGATTGCAGTGGCAAAGGGAATACGTCTCGGAATTCGATGCTGTCGTTGTTATTTTTGCCGCAGATGATTTTAAGGTAAACTTTGCCTTTAACTTGTAGTTTGTGAAACTAATTAATTTTAAAAAATCTGATTCATATTGTCCTAATCTTGATTAAACTTCTACAAGCAGATCTCTAACTACCAAACTGTTAAAAAACACAGCATTTAAAATGATGATTTCGGGATTTATTTTCTGTTTTGTTTTTTTTTTTAAGATCTCGCTAATGCGTTTTATTGGTTATATTCCAAAGCATCATGTTGAGAGACCTTCGAGAGCGTAGACTTTCCTTTCAACCCTACATTTGATCAGTGTAATTGTTTGAGTTCCATTCAACCTCCCTGCCGGATGGAAACATTAATACGTACCTACATGTTTTGCTTTTTGGCAATTTCTAAAACAATTTGGGAAAAAGGCACCTCGTTCTGTGGGGCTGGTGACATCATCAGGTGCTTAGGAATGTGTTCTTTTGAAAATGGCCTAAGCTGTCAACTTAGCTTCAGAAGGGGAGAATTTTTATTATCTCTACATCTAAGAACTTCTTCATCAACCTCCGTGCCGTTTCTATATTAACTATATCTTCTTCTTGATTTTTCAATGCATTTGTTTGTAGACAAAATTCAGCACTTTTTTTCGTCTTAATTTTATTTGTTTCCATATAATACTTAAAGGCACGTTCACGATAAAAATAGTTTCGGAGTTTTTCCCATGGTACGAATTCGGGCCCCCTCTGATACCATATGTGCCGAAATGAGGTCGTAAAACGTTCTGGATAGGGCACATCAAGGGTCCTGAGAGTGGGGGACGAGAGGCCTCCGCCTCTTGCTAGGCGGACCACGAAATCTAATTGCCGTTAACCACTTTCGCATTGGAGTATTATTAGTGAACAATCGATAAGCTGATTGGCAAATTGCCACGGACGGGCATGTAAATTTTGTTGCAAAATCAGCTGTTTGCGTGTGTTGTGTGCAATTGCAAACACTGCGTCGCGTTCGTCTGAATCGCCTGAACACTCCTATTAACCGCGGTTTTCGGCTGTGTAACTCGTCCAACCCCCCTTTTTACTTCTTTTTTGACCCTTTGTATTTCCTTTATTCGTCGTTTTCCGCGATTTCTTTTTATCCATTGAACTACTGTAGGCCGTACCTATCATTTCCCGTCAAAAATCGGATACCCCAAAATTATCGTGAACTGTGCCTTTAAATGCATTGGAATGTATGAGACGTGCATGCTCCTTCTTGCAGAGTTTCGATTATGCACTGGAAGTGCTTCGAAGTGTCCAGGATTGTGATTTCTTACCAGTTGTTGTGATAGAAAACAAAATTGATCTCATCGATGAGTACAACTTTTTGAATAAGGACGTCATCGAGAATTCCATTAGGCAAGCAAGGACACGACTGTACAGGTAAGAGTTTTCTCATCGTATTTGAATAATTTGAACAATTATTAATTATTACCAGAGGATTATCAGAAGTTCCCGGAATATTGTTAGCAATCAAGCTAATGATATCACTCAGGAATTTTGTTAAAATCATCGAGCGAAATTGTTCAGGCAGTCATCTGAATGAACGTTTCTCCCCGAGAAGAAACATTCTGGAACCCTTCTAGTAAATTTCGGCTAAAACCTGAGTCCTACCCGTACCTCTGCAATTTTTGCTATGAAAACTTTGCGTCGTGTTCCATCAGTTAATGTTTCTCTGAGCATCAGTGGTATATTTCACGAGCCACACGAACTTACGGAAATTTCAGGGTTTCGGCAAAGCAGGACTTCAATGTGATGCATCCATTCGCCTACGTTCTTGAAAAGTTACTACGATATAGTGATGAGAACGCCAACGTTAAAGAAAAAGATTCTCTTCAAAATGGCCGTCTGTCATGTCGACAAGGCTGGATAGAACGATCGACTTCGACGAGTTCGAGAAAAAGGAATGCCAACTGTTCCATTATGTAAATAAAACATAATCAAAAGAAACGTAAAGGAAAATGTACACCATCTGAATACGCTTTCGGATGCAAAAACCAAAACAGAAAGTAGCACAAATGGTGCAAAGCGAAGTTGTTGGTGCCTCTTGATTCTATATCGAAATTTGTCAGTATACAGTGGGAGAAATGGAATATAAATAGAGGGATGATGTACCTACCTGAACTAGGCAGATGCTGATTCAAGAGCCTGAAGAGCAGAGCATGAGCGACTGAAACTTAGGGTGCAAACCGGTTCCGCACCATGTCCCATGTCCGAACCGCAAGCAGCTTCACATTGTTCTACCCCATTAGCTTGTTGTCATGGTGCGGATCATCAGAGGATTGGAAATATTCGAAGCTCTTCAATTCCATTTTGAAAAGCCAGAAAAATATCAACGAAACCTTTTTTAATGAGAGACTATGTCTCTCATGACGAAAATGTAAAAATCATTTATTGTTTTAATGTCCTGGTCAAAAATGATGGTATAGCTTGACATGAGGACTCAATAGTAGCTGGAAATCATTACAGTGAAGCAAGTCACGTTGAGGTTTCCCTACAGTCAGTCTTGGTTGGCACTAGTTACTCATTCAATGAGTAACAGACGGGAATTGGCACCACAGCATAAGCGGTTAGAGCAACGGGGAAGATGAGGGCAGTTTCACATCGAGAGCAATCAGTTGTATAGAGAAGAATCAGATAAGGAAAACCAGGTAGATTATCAAAAATATGATGAACACGAGAGGAAACAGAAGACGAGCTATCACGTCGACGCCGTTGTTGTTCCTGAAGCTGGCGCATTTCGTGTTGTACGCAACTTCCAACGTCTGAAACCCAGAACGTTGATGTCCAAGGAGTGATGACAACCTACTGTCATAATGATTCTGAACTTGAGCGGAAAACAAATCCCTGAGATGATTTACCACTTTTACTGTTCATCGTGGGAGCCCGTTTCCTGAACACTTGATGTCCCAGGGCGATATTCTTTCCTTCCAACCAATCCTATTACCTATAATTCCATCGCCAGTCCTACTCTGATCATAGCGATCGCATTGACTTATGATTAACCTTCCCTATGCTTTAAATTGAGCTCCTTTATGACTCACCGCTAAGTCGAACTAGTTCGGGAGACGATTTTCCAGCCAAATAATGTAAACCTCGGGATTTCTTGAGTCTGTAGCAATCCAAAGCAAGTCTAAACCGCGATTGAAAGGAGAGAGAGGGGCGTGGGG